GATAATGACCAACAGTTTTTGTTTTCTATAAAATGTAATTAGGGAATTGAAGACGGAACAATAAGAACAATAAGCAATAACAATTATAATAATGAGCAATAACAATAATAATAACAGCAATCATGAGTATAACTAATGGTAATAACAATGTTAGTAGAGATAGTACTAGAAGCAAGAATATTTGAAGTACTAGTAATAAAATGAAATCAATAATAATTCTAATAATGCTAATGATAATGGGATTCAGTTTTATTAGCAATTAAATTAGTGTATTTTCGGCGCAGCTCGGATTTTTCCCTATAATTCTTTTCTGGAAAATTTCGTGGCGTTTTTATGAGCACATTCCGCATTATTTTTTCGTCCTTATTTTGTTTTTTATATACCTATATTTTTACCGTTACTCGAGCCTTAGCCGAGTTCACAGCGTGTGCAGCGTCTGTGACTGTTGCTGATTTTCCTTTTAAGCTTTCTGACACTCTTCACTTGGCAGGATGGAAACGACAATGGGGCTAGGGGTTGGGGGCTGGGGCTGGCCAGGAGGCGACGGCATCTGTGTGCTTCCCCGTCAATTGAGTCGCATTATGATTACCTTAGCTGGAGCAGTGCAATTGATTTGCTTCGTTTGCCTGGCACAAATCAATTTGACGGCAGCCGTAAACAGTTTATGGACACGTTCTGTCCTCTTCAACAAGTGGCAGCCGCATTAAATTGGCGCGCATTATTCGGGCTTGGCGGAGTCAGAGCGGCGCACACAAAGCCATTTAGAATTTAGCGCGCGTTTCAAATAATTCATTGAATGTGGCACTGAACTGAATGAAAGACTAAAGCCGAAGGCGTCGTATGAACCAAACGCATTAATAACAATTTATTTCCGTCATGCCAAGAACAAGCAACAAGCGTGCGGCAAATGGCAGGTGGCAGGAGGCAAGCGACTAGGCCCAAGGATAGTGTAGGCGACATTCCGCAGATTCGCGCCGCAAGGCACAAGGCAGAAGCCAGAAAGGCAGAAAAGCAGAAAGTCAGAAGGACAGAAAGACAGAAAGACAGCCAGGCAGGCAGACAACCAACGGCAATTGGTTTGAGACCGTAAATAAGTGAGGCAAGTGGGCTGGAAACTGCCGGAAGATGGGGGCAAGTGGCAAATGCCAAGTGGCAGCCGGCAAGGCGGCAAATGTTCAGGGTGTGGCGCAGAAACAACAAATTGCAACAGCAGGCGCAAAAAGTACTCGCACACATAAGCGTGCCCACTGTCATAATTTTGACATTGACGAATTGCCTTTAAGGAATATCAGCGAAGTTAACGGCTGACTCGCTATCTCCTTTTCTCTGTGCGTGTTTGTGTGTGTGTGTGTGTGTGTGTAAGCTTGTGTCTTCTGTAAACTTATAATAATTTACTACAAGCTGAAATGCCGTTGCCCAGCGGCATATTTGTTATAAGGAACAACAAACTGCCCGAGGCTAAAAAAAAAAAAAAAAGAATGTTGCATAAAAAGCCGTTTCCATTGAAGCGGCGAGAGTGTCTGCTGGTAAAGTTAAATATACAGTTTCTATATAATATATATG